ACGATGAATGATGTGGCATACGCATGCATCAAGCCGGCAATCTCGCCTTGCTTGGGCGAGATAGACCGCACTTCGGCGTTGTAAGTCTGATACCGCATCTGATCACCGTGGTTGGCCCCATAAAGGGCCGTTTTGTTGAGAGCCCAGTGGTAGAGGTACACCGGAGGATCCTCAGGAGATTTGCCTCCCCAAACTGCCGTCTGCCGGACGGGGCAAGTGTATGCGTAGTGTCCATAGGCAGCTTCGGCACGCTTGTATTGTGCGCCGATATCGAGGGGGCGAGTCTCCACATACTCTGAGTCCGGGTACTTTGAAGGGTCAGGGTAAAGCTTGTTCAGCTCAGCCAGCTCCTTATCTGAAAGCTGCGGGAGGAGAGTGCGAAAGAAGTCTGTGAAATCCTCAGGTGAAGATGCTGCCTTGGGGACGTACATTGCGCCCTCGTTGTGCGCAGATCCAGTAAAGATAGGGACCTTGTTCCACTTCCCAGACTTCCAGGCATCAATGGGACGCCGAGAGATGATGTCACCGTCGAGGACAGGTTGCCAAGCCCATCGAACAGACGGATTGGATTTCTCGTAAACTTTCTGACCCGACTCAATGATTGTCGAAGAGGGCAGCGCGCGGAGACACGGCAGGATCTCATGCTCGGGGCGGTTGTTGCAGCCAGTGAGCTCGAGAAACTCCTGAAAATGAGCCTCGTTGAGCTTCGACTCGGGTGGGTGAACTACTCGGGCAGTGTGACCGCCGGAGTCCATGATGGCCTTGTGGAAAAGCTTCTTCTTCTGGTTGATGTCCATAACCAAGTGGCCAATCTACACTGGTTAGCCAAACTAGGGAATCTTTCCCATGACCAAGACAGCTTACACCGTGAGCGGCAGCAGACAACCCCATGATGGTTACATCATCAGGGTCGCCGCCAAAAGCAGCGATATTTTTCTGAACCCACTCCAAGGCCACATACATGTCCTTGAGGCCAAGATTGAGCAGACCTTCTTTCTTGGTTAGAGCGGTGTTCATGCCACCCGCAACACCAATTCGATACTGCATTGAGACACCAATCCAGGGCTCTTCAGACCATGCCAGCATCGATGGTGTGTTGTGCATCCGAGCTGCTCCGCGGTTGAATGCACCCCCAGGGATCATCACCGCGACAGGAAGCTTCATATCGCTGGCCGTATGGCCTTTCGGACGATACACATTGATAGTCAAGCAGTCTTCACTCTCCCAGTCGGGGCCCAGCCACTCGTCGTCGGTGAAGGGAACAAGCTGCTTTCCGGGGCATCTAGTTGCATGTTTAGGTTAACTCATAATCTGTCTCATCTCTTGGCTCAAACCCACCTTGGACCCAATTCGAAAGCCTCGAGTGTGCCGTTTCCAGCGGCTACAGGGACGGCATGGCGGAATCTCAACTGTCCGACCGGTGGAAGGGCATACGGTATTCCCATGAAGCCTTCCAGGGGCTCCGGAAACGTACCGTCAGTTACTAGCCTGCCAAGAATGGTTCCCTGGTTGATTGTGACCGACGCTGCCGGGCTGTACTTAGACTTCGTTGATTGACTGGCAGTCAACCCCCCTGGCTGTCCAGACCAGAAGTAGGCCAAGACGCTGGCTGCGGCCAGGGGAAGGCCCAGACTCCATTGCCAACTTGGGCTATCCGTTCTTTTCGACATTTTCTCCCCGATTCGGAATACTGTGAGAATCGAGTAAGATGAAGCTCACAGCAGGATGAATCGGCAATGCAAATCTAAAGCTTCATGATATACAACACTCAATTGAGGTTTTGGACAGCGCTGTCGCCGCAAGTGGGAGTTGATAACACTGGTTATGCAGGGTTTGGGAGCCGGCGAGTCAGGGGCAGTGCGGGCGCTCACAGTATTTTCCCACGGCTTACGGTGTCCCTCCCACCTCGCCGCGGCAAACTCAGGGGTCGGTTGCATTTTGCCGAACGAGCGCGCTGTTCCCCGCATTGGAAGAATACATGACACTGAATGCAAGAAAGTCAGTGAAAACGTTTGGTGTTCAGTGACGGGTCATCAACTGGGGAGAACTAAGTTGGGGAGAACTTAATTGGGGCGACCTCAACACTGTAGAGGACCATTCGGTTTGCAGCACGATGAATTGCTAGTAAATACAGACAAGTGTTTCCTCCTTCAATACCGCGGAATGCTTGAGATGTACTAAACATTGCAACTCTCCAAGTTTTCAAGTTGCTGGTAGGCAGAGATGGCCCCGAATTCCGACTGAAACGTCTTGAACGCGACAATCCGGGCCTGCCGGATCCCGATGATCGACATCGGCCCCGCTGAAGAGGCCGGCACGGTAGCCTCCGTCAATTTCGGCGGGCAACGGAGACTAGCCGGAGATCGTTGTTTGAGGTCCCCTGGTATCTAAGAGACACCCTAGAAACAAAAATGCCATCTAGCTACCACACCTGTGCTTGTCACATTCCATTGGACTGCAACATTTCATCTGATACCCTCTTAATTCTCTTTGGCGATGGTGCGTTCGTAGAAGGGAAGAAAGTATACACGAAACTGCTCAGGTAGGCATGAAAGCAGATCTGGAAATTATCTAAGAGAGTAAATTGCGTGATTTGAGGTATCTAAAATGTTCATATTCCAGATGCCCACGACTTTCTCTGGAGTCTACCGCCTCTCCGCTTGGCTATTTTCCCATTTGGGTTTGCGAGGTTTTAACCGAAATCCTTCGTGCAGATGCCGCACACAAGTCCCAAAACGAGGAGTCGTACGAGTACCAACTTTTGCGACGAATAGCGCATCAGCAAATCAGCGACATTGATGAATCTCACGTCAGCCTGAACAATCCGGGAAAGCTCCCTGCGGCGCAGTAACGAGCTTCCACTTCGATGTTAATGCCTGACGAAACCCACGCCTGTGACCGGGTACCTACGCTGAGATTAAAATGAGCACATTTCACCCCTGGCGATTACAGCACACTATGTCGCAATTTGTCTAAAATATGGGTAGGGCCTCGTGTCGATAGCGAGCATTGCCGTCGAGTCTGGCGAATACATGTAGACCATCTCCCAAAACCTCTTTCCAGCGTAATGATCCATCGCGTCGGCAATTCTTGACAAGCAACAAGTTCTTCCAAACCATGGCTGACTGGAATCAAATCTATGCGGCGGCCTTTGTGGGCATTCTGGGGGGGCTCGTTTCTGTCCACCTCAAGACCTCCAAGCGCAAGCCCCCAGCAGCAATCAAGGGCAGGCCGGACACGATTCTCTTCGCAGTCAACACAGAATATGGTCTCTCGAACGTCCATCTCGCGACATTATTCTCGCTTCTCAAGAACCACCCCAACCTCAAGATTCACATTGCTTCATTCCCCAGCTTCGCCTCCAAAGTCGATCGCATTCGCACGTACGCAGGCAGACAGAACTCCTCGTCGAGCGATGTGGTTTTCCATGAGCTACCTGGCCCTGAGTTCGGTCCTGCGACGATGATGCCATCTGAGATGATCATTAGGCCGCCTGGCATCCGCAGCATCGACACTGTGGCGAAAGCAGTGCAGGTGTACCTTGCGCCCTGGACCGGAGAGGATCATTTACGAATGCACAATTTTGTGAGGGACCTCATCCGGGACCTGGATCCCGGTGTCGTCGTTCTTGATATCTTCCTGAGACCCGCAATGGATGCGGCCAGGAGCGAGCGGAGGCTACATGCTGTTCTCGCGCCGAATGTGCTCGCAGACATATTTGGATCGACACAACCGTGGTTGAGTGGTCTTTGGAAGTTCCCAGCGTAAGGCTCTTTCTTGTCCTTATCCTTTCAAATGGCTTGCAAACTGACAAATAATACAAACAGCATGGGTTCCGCTCATACGTTTCCCATCCCATGGAGTTCTATACCTTCCAATATCTATCAAGCAGCCTGCTTCCTCTATTCTATGACGTTTTGCCCAGATCAGTCATCGAAGCAAAAGTTTTTGAACGAAAATGGGCTCTTCGATCCCATCTCTTACTTCAATTTTCATGACCCCCCTCTAGGCCATCTCATTTGTCAAGATACCCCCAACGCTTCTATCCCTCTCATCCGCACCCCTCTCAACGTAACGACGACAGGACCTGTCGCCATCTCAGTTGCCACCGCAGAAGAACAAGACCCAGAACTTGCAAATTGGATGAAGAAAGCACCGACAGTACTGATCAACCTTGGAAGTTTCTTCCGGTACGACGAGGAACGAGCAAGGGCAATGGCCGGTTCTCTGAAGGTTGTTTTGGAGCGGACTGAGGTACAAGTTCTGTGGAAGATCATGCCGAACACCGAACCCGTGCTCGAAGACGGTGTTTGGATGCCTTTGGTGGTGGATTATGTGAAATCGGGTAGGCTGAGAGTAGAGAAATGGCTTTCTGCTGATCCTTTGAGTCTACTGGAGACTGGCCATGTCATTCTCTCTGTGCATCATGGGGGAGCGAGCTCCTATCACGAGGCAGTGTCGTAGGTTTTCCGTTTGAAGATTCCTTCCAGATGAAAGGTTACTGACTGGTTCATGTAGGGCTGGAGTACCGCACCTTGTTGTGCCTGCTTGGCTGGATTGTTACAACTATGCAGCTCTTGCAGAGAGCTTCAAGCTTGGCGTTAGAGGGAATTATAAAGCTGCCCCCGGCATTTCTCAGGACGAGCTCACTGAGGCATTTTTGACGATGCTTGATGGTGGCCCCTCCAGCGTAGAGATGCGGACCAATGCCAAGCGTCTGGCGAAGTCCCTTGTCCGGCCAGGAAGAGACGTGGCTGCTGATAGAATCGCAGAACTGGCGACCGACGGCCGTTGAAAGGAGCATTCAGTACTAGACATGACTCCGAAGAAACTTTCCGATGGTCCAAAAGCCATTCAGTACAATCTCTTGAGCGCGCCTGCTATATTTGGTATGCCGAGAGAGCCTCTGGTCTTATACCACCTGCAACTGAAATTAGATATGAACATTTGCCCATGCTATGAATCGCAACATGAAATATTCAGGTGTCGCAGGAGCAGAACTACTCAGGTGCCGATGTGACTATCAGCCCATCAAGATTGCCCTTTGCCATCCAGTTATCTAGCATCCTACGATGGTCGACGATTCCAGTTCCCCAGGCCAAATTCGACACACCCATTCCTTCTTTCAAAAGCTTAGCATTGCCAGTGAACCACCCGGGAGTGCATCCTTGCGAGAGCGCTGTCCAGCCCACACGTTCAATCATCTGCTGAATGTACCTTTCCTCGGCCTCTCTGGTAACCTCAATGACCGTTCTTGCGGGAATGGGGGCATTCTTAGTAGCCGTGGAGATGATGTGCGCAACGACATCCGCTGCATTCACGTAAACCGACGCAATGTTTGGCGAGGTGCCCAAGTTGGAGAAAGTAGCGAAGAACAAGTTGGGAAAGCCATGAGTAGCGACACCAAACAAGGAGCCAGCTTCTTCTCCATTCCACTTTTCGGTGATGTCTCGTCGATCGCGACCAATGAATGTGGAACCTGTCTGTCCGGATGGCGACCCATCTCCAAATGTTAGGCTTTGAAAGCCAGTGGTGAGAATCAAAGGATCCAGGGGATATGCCTGAGCTCCGTTGGCAAGAACTCCCTCGGAGGTGTAGCCCTCAATCCCTTGGCCATCTGTATCGACCAGTTCGACATTAGGTCGGTTGAAAGAAGCGAGGTATTCCTCGTGGAAGGCAGGTCGTTTGCACCACACCTCGTACCATGGCTTCAACTTCTCGGCAACAGACTTATCATTGACTTGATCTTCGATGTGTCTGCGAACTCGCTCGGCGCAAGGTCGATCAGTCTCGATGAGCGAAGCCAATGACTCCTCTTCGGTTCCAGCATATGGTTTTGGCGACCCAATAATACCAGCAAAGGCGTGGCATTCGCTCCAGCCATCGTTGCAAAGATCCTTTTCGGGAGGGTCATTCGTTAGAGAGCGATTGAGGTTGTCTATTCGTTCGTATTGCCAACCCTTCTTGTTCGCAACGTCTGATGCCCATTTCGCTCGGTCCGTCTCTTTCTGTGCGCGCTCGGAGACGTACGTAGGAGTGCGCTGGGACACGTAGAGCTTCTTTGCCCATCTCGCGACTTCGGGCACAACTTGGATAGCGGTAGCCCCACTGCCGATAATACCGACGACCTTGTCCTTGAGTTCGACAAGTCTGGCTTTTCTTGCGAACCGCCGGTGTAGTTGTAATCCCAACGCGCGGTGTGCATTAATCGCTTGTTCTGAATGAAGTCCTGGAGCCCAGAAAGCTTTGGAAGATGCGGAGAGACGAGAAAGCCTCCAGCAGAGAAGAGAAACTGGGTGCTCACTGTCATATGGACAGGATCTCGGTTGGGCCCACGGTTCTGCATCATCGACACGATCCAACGACCGGCTTTCTCATCCCATTGCTGGCTCTGAACAGTAGTTCCAAACATTCCTCGAATTTTCAGGGTACTAGCGACGTTCTCCAGGTGTTGTCGGATCTCGCTGCCGTATGAGTACTTGTGCTTGGGAATGTAGCCTGTCTCCTCTAATAGAGGAAGATACACGTAGCCTTCAACGTCGCACATGGCACCGGGGTATCGATTCCAGTACCTAAAACCAGTCAGCTGCGGTCAAATATGCCAGCGCAAACAAAAGTTTAACTGTGTATAGTCACCACGTTCCGCCAAAACCGCCTGCTGTGTCTACCGCAATAAAGTCTTGAGCTTGAAAACCGGCCTTGACGAGCCTATGAGCGAACAAAACACAGCTGATTCCGGCCCCGATGGCAAGAAATCTAATCTCATTGCCATCCTTTAGCGGCTTCCCCTTCTCTAAATTGTCGTAGTCAATGAAGGGATCTCCCGCAAGGTCGTGTAGCTTGTGGTCATCACGGAAGCTTGCGTACTCTTCAGCGCGCACAGCGGCAAGACGCTTTGCCCGCTCTTCGGCATACTTTCGAATCGTGGTCTCAGTTGTAGTCATATTGATTGCTTTGATGGACTTTGTGCTCAACAATCGAGGATACCGTCTTTATAAGTAGGTGTCTGGTTGTCAAGAAAGACGAGTTTGGTAATCTTTTTCATCATTCAGAATTTCCAAAGTCATTAGTGATGTTTTATATCACACGCGTCTGATTCTGACACCTTTCAACACTGATGTATGCTCTCTAGTATTAAGGAACGATCTCTACGTGCCTGCGGGCAAAACTCATCTGAGAGTAGTCACATATTCTCCTGGCGCGTGCACTGCTCTCGCGTTCTGTTTGGGAATAGGCACCCTGCCGGATGTCGCTAGCCCGCGGTTTCCGTTCTGATGTGTATGGGGCTGCTGAGGTGTTTTTGGGGTTCCGTCGGAGCTCTAACAATCTCTGAAGTTAACCCGTCCCCGTTGCTTGGCTTGATATTCAACCTATCTTTCTTTCGGTTTGAACACGAACGGGGCCAGGATCTTAGACCTCGTAGTCCGATCGGAGCGCCGCTGGACCTGTCGGTGTAATGATCGTTCCACTCACTCTTCAGAATACCTTCTGGCCATGGGCAACAACTGGAAATTCGCTGGAGTCGGGTCTAAAAGATCCATCGCACTTCGGTCCATTAGTGGAAAGCGTGTCAATTAGAATATATTCGCTCTTTCTTGTCACTTTCACGGAAATCAAATATTTCCGGTTATGCAACAGTCTCTACGAAGGTCTCATTGTGCGAATGAGGAAAGTTCTCCGGCTGCTGAAAGGGAGCCTGGCCGTGTCTTGGCTGTGGCCCATCGAAGATGAGCACTGTGGCCTCGTAAAGCCCTGTCCTTGGTCCTAGATTCCACACTGGCAAGATTTCAATAGGGGCTTCTAGAAACCTTCACCCCTGCAGCACCAGGTATGGTCATGGTCTACGTATGTATCAGATGCTAACTGATCACAGGACGACACAGGTATGGTATCACAAACACACATTTCCGCTGATGCCATGTGCGGTTGCAAACTTTTTTTTTCTTTGAGGAAAAGCCAACAGCCAGCTTGCCCTGTTTTGAGCTTCACCCGTCTCATGCAATAAGCAATCACTGCGTCAAACACTCGGCCGAGTATAAGAATAGGACGACGTCGCCGACGGAGTTTTGGGGTTGCAGTCACCGAAGGCTCTCAAGCATGGGCCCTATTGGCTCTGATCCATCCGCCAGTTTCGATCCCATGGCAACGTCACAATCTTGGTTCGTCTGATTGGAAGCGAACGGCACACCACAAGTACGAGCTTGTGGCCGGGCGTAAATAATACCATCATTTTCTAACACAAATTCGTATAACCCCTGCTCTTCTGGAAGTGGCCATGCTTCTGTATCAATCTTAGCTTTTAGTAATAGTAAAAGAGCTTTATGTTGAGCGAACACTTCATTTCTACGCCTCATTGCAGAATACCTACCCTGGGCAGCCAACGCCCGCCAGGTTCTGCTTGACCTTTACTGTAGCGTGGTTAGCCTGGACCGCACCACTCTACCATCCTTGACAAGAGCTGATATGGTCTCCTCAGGATTGTCCAATATCGAGATGTCATCCAGCGGATTGCGCTCCATGATCAGAAGATCAGCCATGAATCCTTCCTTGACCTGGCCCAACCTGTCTTCCTGTCGGAGCAATTTCGCCGCATTGACAGTCGCACTCCTCAAGACCTCTACCGGGCTCTGCACTCGACTGCGGATGGAGAATTCCTTGCTCTGCGCAAAGTGAGTGGGCCCCAGGAGGTCAGTCCCAAAGCAGACCGTAACGCCAACCTCCGTGGCCATTTTTAGCGTCGCAAGCCCGCGGTCCAGCACCTCAGTAACCTTGGCCTCGGACTCTGGCTCGAGGAAGTGTAATTCCTTGGACATGAAATGCGTGACAAGCGTCGGAGTGAGGAATGTCCCCTTCTCGGCCATCAGCTTGGCAGTTTCCAGATCGATCAGGTTGCCATGTTCGATGCCCCTGACACCCTGTCCAATAGCCTGACGGACGGCCTCGGTGGTATAGCAATGGCTCGAGACATACGACTTCGCATTTGTTGCGGCAGTGACGATAGCTCTGATCTCTTCATCAGAGAACTGCAAGGAGTCAATTCGATCCGTCGGGCTAGCAACACCGCCACCACCCATGATCTTGATGAAATCAGCCCCCTGGCGTAGCTCATCCCTCGCAACACGAAGACAGTCGGGCACTCCATCCACAATACGGCTGATGCCCGATACATCACCCCCGCAGCAGGGCACAGTATCGTGGCGGCCCCGCATGTCTCCATGCCCGCCCGTCTGCGAAAGTGCCTTCCCAGAGATGAATAGGCGAGGTCCCGGGTGGATGCCCTCTTCGATCGCTTCTTTCATGGCCAAGGTTGCACCGCCGCAGTCCCGGACGGTAGTGAAGCCGCGGTCCAGCATGGATTTGAGAACATTGGGCTGGCGGATCAGGCTTTTTGTCTCGGTCATGTCGCGGTACGAGGAAAGGGATGCTGCGCCAGGGGGCACCGCAATATGGACATGGCAGTCGATGAGGCCAGGGCAGACGTATTACAATATTCTCGGGGTTAACGTCCAGCTGCACCTCGCCGGAGGAGCTGGCCGGCTCAACAAAAGCTATTCTGCCATCTGCAAGCGCGATTGAGGTATTTTCCGAGGTGGTGCCGCTGACAGGGTCGACAATCTTAGCGTTCCTCAGCAGGTACGTCTTCTGGCTGGAGGGTTTCCATGGGGTGATGTATTTAGAGATATCAATTTCATCGGGCTTTTGGCGAGAGGTGACCATTGTGAACGCAAAGCGAGGCGTAGTTCTAGTTCTCCTGGAAGGTAAACTTTCGTAGCGCTCGTGATTAACGGCAGAATGAGGTATGAACTTATAGCAGGAACAAAACAATCACATTTGCCTCGAGTAATGCCTCAAATCAAGATCTAGAGCTGATGGCAGGTTTAATATGTACTTACATTTCGGCACACCATGGCTACTAGATCTCCGTATCTGCCGTTCCAAGGGTGTTGGACGCATCCGGACCCAAACTCCTGCGCTGTTCTGCGTTACGTTAGGCAATTAGACGAAACCGAAGGTCTTTTCAACGTGCAGTGGAGATATTCGTGAGGGTGTCTCAGAGTTAGTCGCCCCGGTTTGCTGCCGGGAATCTCGGCTTCATATGAATTTCGGCGGAGCATTCCTCATGTGCTCTCGGCTCTGATGATCTGTACTCGTTATATATTTTTATGAAAAGAATTCTACCGGTGAATTTCCCGTCATTTCCTTAACGTCTTGCATACTTTCATCCATCCTCTCTCGCCTTTGAACCGTCAAACTCGTCCCTAATAGGTCAGTCATGTGGTCGTAAGAAAAGATCTACTTCGCACATTCAACAGCGTGTCTGCTCCACGTGCTCGAGACATCGCCTCCTATTCCCAAATCCGGCACAGAATCGACATATGTTACTCGAAGCGTTTGCTACTTCTTAAGAGGGGACTTTTAGCTTGTTCTGGGGCGGTTAGGCGAATTGACCAACGTCTTGATTAGTCCTAGTCGGGCCTGTGCCTAAACGACTTCAACGAGCACTGCGCGTGGTTGGTGAACCTTTGGAGCTAGATCAGAGTGACAGTTACAGCACGTGGAACCTTACATGTTCAACATTGTAAACGAAATAAATGATTAATACCAGCATATTTGGGCAAGGTTGCGCGCCCGACTCCTGCAACCCCCCTCAACAAAGTATGAGTAACCTGGAGAGATCGCCAGTGGCTCCATCTCGCGACAAAGAAAGTTACATGGGAATGATGTTTCATCAGTACTACTACTCTCGATATAAATGCAATCATACAGAGTCACCCAGTGGAAACTCGTTCAACAGAACCTCCATACCCTGGACCAGATCCGCCTTCAGGCAGCTCACCCAGAGCAGTCTTTTGTCACATACCGCGTCACTCATAGACCGCCACTCCATCAAACTCTCCACGCCTCCTAAGCTTGTCGCGTGTTGGAATACGTACATTCGTCCCGGCATTCTCTTCGCATGTTCCGGACTCCTCATCGACAGGCTAAACACAGCGCCAAAGCCACCAGGCATCTGCTTCTGAAGCCAGCCATCACTGAGTGCGTCGGTCTGCAAAGAGGCATGTCGTATCTCGGCAACAGCTTTGTTGACCACTGATCCGGGTCGATGCATCTCGTGGTTGAGCCAGGCGACCAGGTTCGTGCAGGTCTGCGACTGCCGTGTCACGCGAAGTTGAAGAGTGCGTACGGATCGGATACCGAGCCATCCTTCGAAGCTGCCCATCACCGAGCCAATAATTTGGCGCTCTTTGTAAAGAGTATCGACCCAGCCTTCCTTGACACGACTCTGACGGACGACAAGGATACCGCAGAGCATGTCGGAATGTCCACCAATGTACTTCGTGCCGCTGTGCATTACAACATCAGCCCCGAGTTGAAGTGGATCTTGCAGCGGAGGCGGCGCGAACGTAGCGTCAACGCTGAGGTATGCCCCGGCCGCGCGAGCCTTCTCACTGTAGTAGGTAAGGTTGGTTGCCTCGCCGGTAGGGTTAAGTGGCGTCTCGACATGAACGATGTCACCGGCTTGAAGTTGATCAAGGTCCTCCAGGGTCAGCTTTTTGACCCCAGTCAACTTGGACATGATTTCAATAACTCCATGAACGACGTGGTAGCCTTGACCGATGAAAACGCGTTTGGGGTTGAGGCAGACCATCAATGCATGGAATGCTGAGAGGCCACTAGAATAAGTGACAACATGGCCCCCGAAGACATTTCGCAAGATCATCTCCAGTCGACTCGTGTTTGGGTTAGTGTATCGTGAGTAGACGTGAGAGTCCTCGGGAGCATTGAGCTGTTTCGTCAGTTGCTGACGCAAGGAAAGTATTGATTCACCGCGAGACTCACATCTGTGTTGTCGCCCTGCTTCAGGTCCTCTGCGTTGCGAGCGTAGCGATAGTTCACGGCGACTTGCATTCCTGGCGCGATGGCACGGTGAGGGGTGAAGAAATCGTCCGAATGCACAGCTCGCGTAGCCATGGACATGTTAGGGAGGGCATGATTAAGTGCGTCCGCGGTCAGCACCCAATTGGTGGGTGCCTTGCTGCCCTGGGGAGATGACATGATGAGTTTAATAGTGGTGTGAAGTCAGAAAACCGAGCAGCAGCGTGCTGGGGAAAGGACGAATGGTTTTTATGCAGTCTGCCGGACAAAATCAGTCACTCAATATGAAAAATAATTGGCATAAGAAACGACGTCAACGTCATGGAAAAGACGCATTGCAACAGCAGAAGGAGGTCGGGTTTCAGATCGGGATTGAACATACCCGAAATAGAGCGATCCAGGCTACCTTAGTTGAGACCCCTATCTGCGGCCAATCAATATATCAGCTCGCCGCAATCTTAGACGTTCAATACAGGAGAAGAACAAAATAAAGGACTGCATCTTCTGATTTGTTGCTTGTGACAGTCTTTCTCCTAGTCTTATCGCCTGCAGTCAGACTACACGCAATTTAATGTGCACCTGAAGGCGCGTTTTTATAACAATTGAGCCCAAAATGACTTCATTCTTTGAGCTTCAGGCCCTTTGAATAATTTCGTCCAATAAGTTGCTTGTAGGAATTGTAAATGATGTCCGGGTACGGTATGCTTGGCACTCAAGGAATTTGGATTGGAACACTTCCAAAAGACTCGTTCTCCAAAGAAGCGGAGTACCAAGTAGGCCACAACGCCTGATCTCCCAACAAAGCTACAGGATCGAAGTCTTCAAGGTCTTCTGAGTCACGAAGAGCGTCGTTGTTATCTTCGCCAACGTTGGTGGACTGCGCGTCTCCCTGTTCTGCTCCAGCTCCACGGATCATGGCCATGTGTTGTTCTGACCTGTCAACCGTCCTGAACCCGTGAGCCGATTGATGCAGGACTTCAAAGTCCAGGAGTGATCTGTGACGATATCTATCAACATTTGAGTTCACTTCCTCAAACAATGTCGAGGCGTTTTGAATAGTTTGGATCTGTATAGTTTTAGTAATCAGAGCAGGAGACTTAGTTCAAAGAGATTTCTCACCCAACCCTCTCCGAGATCCCAAGCTTTTCGGAATTCCTTGAGATATGCAAGACCCATGTCCAGATGTTCTTTAGCCTTTGGGCTACATCCTGCTGTCATATTGGGAAAATGAATAGCGTAAAGATTCAGATAACAGGCTGAGAAGCCACAGAAGCCAGGCACAGGAGTCATCATTGTCATGCCCCACTCAAGAGCGTCACGCAGAATAGTCGCCACATGCGCTGCTGCTTCGAAGAGCTCTTTAGCACTATTTTCCCAATAACGTGGTGGTGCCTCAGCTTCGAGAAGTGGGGGATCCGTAGGGCCTTGCGGTTCCGCATGCGGTTTCGGCAGGAAGGGGAAATATTCCCTGTTAAGCATGAGAACGCTGAAAGTAACGTCAGTCAGAAGCAACAAGTAGGTAGAGGTGAGAATGCAGCTCACTGTAACAGGCCAGGCCTGTCACATGGGGTGCTCTCGGCTAAGCTCGGCACTGGACTAAGACATCAAGGTATTCAGCAAAGTAGATAAAAGACGTGTAGATGCAGCTAGAAAGGAATAAGAAACCTTCCTTCCTCATCTGAGGATTCTCATTTGAGAAAGGAAGTACGAGTTGCAACATTGCTCCTACTAACCCTTTGTATAATCCTCAGATCCCCTTTTCTAACGTTAAGGTTGTGGTTGAGGGTATAACTGTTACGACCTGTTATGCAGAAATAACAGATAACCGACCCACTTAGGCATCGGGCGGCTAGGACAGGACATTTGTACTGCAGGATCATAGGAATAACAGGGACTCACTTAGTAACAGAAGAACTATAGTCTAAGTCACATGACGATAAGATAACGATCATATTAGATCAATATGATCTAACACAACTTAGGGGCTAAACGATCATTCTGGATCGTAATGATCCAGATCGACCTAAGGTATAAAGGAACATGTTCAGAATTAGACTTATATATAGTGTGACCCTGAGCCTAGCTTATGGTCAGACTTCTATAGCTCTTCAGCAATCAACTTAGTATTTATCCTCATAGATACTCTCAGCTTACCTTTACTATGAATTACTTATTAAGTCTAAGACTGATCACCTTAGCCTCTAAAGACCTAATCTACTATCAGCCTACAGCCTATAACCTAGACTATAACCCTAGTATACTATTATAACGTATTAATCCCCAGCTTCTATTAGCAGACCCTACTGTTAGATAGCTGACTATAACACTTTAATTACTCCTATTCAGTAAGTTAACTATTAACACCTACTAACAGTAAAACAATAAGCATATCTTCTCACGCTTCAGCTAAGTCCCCTACCCTAGGATCTTCATCTTCCTCGCGCAACCAGCCTCAGAGTCTAGCGTAGGAACTTACTAGCATTAAAGACTATAATATGCTGGACCTTAAGTATAACTCTAATAGAGAAGGCACCTTCACTAAAGAAGGCTATAAAAAACTCTAACGCATCATCTAGAAATAAGACGCTGAATCTAAGGAGATATAGACCTTTATTAACAAAGGTAAGCAGGCTATAAATAACCTTAATAAGTAACTCCAGAACGCTAGATAAGCCTATAAGAAACTTAAGAAGGACCTCAGAGGAGACGCCAACCTCAAGAAGGTTCAATATTACAGTCAGCTATCCGACAGTAGGGTCTGCTAACAGAAGCTGGGGATTGATACGTTCTAACAGTACACTGGGTCGTGGTCGTAGGTCGTAGTTTGTAGGCTGCAGTAG